CATATATACATACACTCACAAAAAATAGGTTCGTATAAATATTATCTATGTCAGAACAAATATGAAATATATATGAAAAAGAGAGCTGAGTTAATTCAAACTTGCAACGATTTAATCATATAGATACTTACGGACTTGATTTTTAAAGACGAATTTGTCGGGAGCTTTTTTAATGTCATGAGGAATGTCGTTCCAGAGTCTGATGGACATGAGGGCGAAAGAGTGAGATAAATAACCAATACGGTGTAAAGGAGTGAGCAACTTAAGATTGGCCGAGGAACGGATAGAAAAATTATGAGAATCTCCCAGGTATTGAAATTTAGATTTCAGATACTCGGGAGCACATGAATCGTTGAAAATTGAGAAAAGGGTGCAGAGTATTCTAACATATCTACGCTGACGGATAGGCAGCCAGTTTAGCTGTGTACGAAAGGAAGATACATGGTCGTATTTACGAAGACCATAAATGTATCTGATGCAGTTGTTAAGCAGACTATCCAATGTATTAAGATGAAGTTGAGACAGGTCTGAGCAATACACATCGACATAATCAATAATTGGTACAATAAGTGATTGGACAAGTAAAATCTTGGTATTGGTGGGAAGAAAGTTTTTAAATCGATATAGAGATCGCAAAGTTCCAGTAGTTTTGCGACTCACCTCCTGTATATGTGTGTTCCATGTTAAGCAACCATCGATGTACAAAACAAGGTTCTTTACGTTAGTAGAGAATGGTATGACATTATTATTAAACATAATTGATGGTAGGGTGGGAATATCCAGTTTAGATAATAATCTTGAGCTACCTAAGATTATCGTTTGGCATTTAGACGGGTTCACGTTTATGCCATACACAGTACACCATTCTGAGATATATTTCAAATCTTCATTTAACAGTGAAATAGCACTTAGGATATTTGAAGGTTCCACTTGCTCATATAACTGCAGATCATCAGCATACAAATGGTAAGAGCTCTTGAGATTTAGTGTGATGAGATTTATAAGAATGGAAAACAGAAGAGGAGAGATAATACCGCCTTGAGGGACGCCAATTGACACATCAGGCCAGTCAGATAGTGTATGGCCAGTACGCACAGCCTGTTGGCGCCCTCGAAGATATGTTGAGAACCATTCCTGAGCTGAAGACGAGATATTCAAATGAGAAAGAAGAGCTAACAAGATACCATGATCGACAGAATTAAATGCATTAGAAAAATCAATTAAGATGAGAGGTCAGTTTTGATTTTTCCATCCCCTCACGAATATCTTCCGTAACCTTGAGAAGAGCAGTAGTAGTAAAATGACCCGGGCGGAAACCAGACTGATAAGGGGAAAGAATATTCTTTGAGAAAACAAAAGCAGAAATCTGTATCTGAAATCAGTGAAATCAGCTTATATACGTAACACTTAAATACAAAACACTTATATACGTACTACTTACATAATAAAACTGACGAATGTCCTCATATAACATATAAATTATTTAGACTACTCAAAAAGCATTAACTATTTTAAGTCAAACCCAGGTAAACCTAAGATTATTACCTATTTCTTCTGGTTTTATCCATACTAGATACCTATAAACCGAAAACACCTAACTTTATCCAACCACAATCGGCAGCACTTAGTTGAAGTTGGGTAAACATGGTTTATATGTTTTATTAAAAAAACAAAAGGTACAGATATTCCGAGATATAAAATTATGCGCCCGGTTATCGAATAATAAAAAAATATATTCGTCAGTCGGATAATTAGTTTCGAGCAAAACAACGTTACGAGTTACCACCGACAAGAATTTGGCTTACATAATGTCTAAAAGACGTGGTACTTTAAATCTATTGTCACGGGACGTGACGCCACTCGAGCACTTCTTTCAAAGTCCTTCATTAGCTCACTAATGTAAACTTCACGATCAAACGATAACTAGGTATAAAACAATTTTGTATACGTACGTAAGAACCGTATTCATTATAAACGTAATGTAATTCTGACTAATGCTTATATATTATGGTATTTAGCATATTTTCTTTGAATTTGATTTCTTTATTGATATAGAAATAAATTATGATTTTAACTTACACTTATTTTCCGAATAATATGTTGACATTAATTTTGCCGTATTAATCAAGAGTGTAGTTAGTATTATTTTTCTCACTGTGGAGATGTTTTATACAGAGTTCGCCACAAGGGTGATGAACTCTGAAAAATTTGATCCTCCGGATTTTTTGACCGGAGATTCTTAGTACCCCTGCCCCGCCGTTACCATGGTCGCCATCGTGGCCAGGAATAGCGGGGTCGCCGGGGCATGGGGGCAGTTTATTTGTGTCATTGCTCATGTAAAGTAAAGTAAAGTTACGGCCTATATACGTCCCACTGCTGGGCTCAGGCCTCCCCTCATTTCTGAAAGGGTTTAGGGCAAGGAAGTGTCCGCCGTGCTACCCAAATGCGTGTTGACGAACTTCACATGTCTTCGAAATATTTTTTTTTCTTATTCCTCAGACATGCAGGTTTCCTCACAATGTTTTCCTTCACCGCCAAGCACGTGGTAAATCAGCACTTAAAATTGCAATTAACAATTTCATTGATGCCGGCGGGGATCGAACCCGGGTTACTCGCGTTCTGTTATATTTACAGCGAGCGTTAACCACTGAGCTACCACGGCTCAGTGGTCATTGCTCATGGGGGGTAGTATATTGTCATAGTTGCCACGCTTGGCGAGCGGGTTGGCAACCGCAGTTTTTTATTGCTGCTTGCTGTCCATCTTCTGACTCAGTTATCCTCTGTCGCCTCTTGCGACAACCACGGGAAGATATAGGGTAGTGGTATAGTGGTCTTTTGAATACTCCATTCGGAAGAAGTGGAAAGAAAACATAACCTGGAGTGCAAAGTTCATTTAAATTCAAACGTCATTAAAGTACTAGAACTAATCGGCAACCTTACCATACTCATGATAAGCACGACATATTTGTGAGCCGTAATGGCAAGGGCAGCCACCGACTTACTAAGGCGAAGTTCCTGTGCTTAAATCCCAGTTAAAGCCATCAATTTTTGTTAAAACACAATTTATTGACAATATTGACACTATGAACTCGTCGTCGAACTTGTCAAAATCTGATTAACAAATTGTTCACCCCACTCCAAAATTTACATACCGTACCGCACATTTAAATTAGGCTATATTATCGCTTGTCCCTTAAAATCGAAAAAAGTTAGCAACCTTACCGAGTAGCGTCTGGGGTACGAGACGCTATAAAATCACCTATCTCTCAAGTGTGGAGATAACGTCAAATCCTTCTCTTTATAGAATATTAAATTAATGAGTAATATGTGAGTTTAATTTTTTTAAATTTAATTTATGAGTAGCATGTTTCATTGGTACTTGTAATTCAAAAAAGCTACAGATTCTCTAAATAGGAACTAGTATTTCGTAAACTGAATTTCATTTTACGCAAATTGTTCACATACAGACATGATTTTCGGGATATAAGAATCTACTTATTAACCAAATCCGTAATAATAATAAATAAATAGTGTTACTTGCCTAGCATTGTGTAAGTGACAAGTGTTTGTGATTGTGTAGGCGATGGGATAGCTACCTAACAATCTTTTCACAATTTTTCATTTTATTCTAAAATTATGCTTTTTTTGGCTAAACGTGTTCTGAGTAGGTCGCTGCTTTATGAATTACAGGCGTGACGCTGTGTGTCAACCAAATATAATCTTGATTTACGTTTTCCTCTGATGATAATAAATGAGTATATTGGATATGTATTAATATGTTCATTTAAAAGCTTTGCATCCTTCCAAAAAATTTTTTTCTCTGTTTTTTATTCAAAAGAAACGTCTTTAGAAATGACAAATGAAACTATGATTTGATCTATCGAGATTTAAATTAATTAATTTATTTAATTCAATTTTTTTGTTTTTATTTATTGTAAAATATCAGTGCCATAAGCTTCTACTCCGTTCACATGTTCACAACACCCTTTTTTCCTAGATGGTAAAAATGATCATCCAGTATAGTTATAAATTTAAGAATTTGTACTATTTACAAATTGTCTTAAAATATAACTTGTTGTTTATTAGTGGCGCAAGTAGGCATTGTCTTCATGGATGGTGGAGCTGTATCCTATGGTTGTAACACGAATGAATCGTCTCAACCGGGGAAAAACCACCAAGCACAGAGGCGCTCATAAAACTAATTTGTTAATCAGATTTTGATGATTTCGACGACGAGTTCATATTTCATAGTATCAATACAGTCAAAAAATTGTGTTTTTACAAAAAAAAATAATAATAACTGGGATTTAGGCACAGGAACTTCGCCATAGTAAGCCGGTGGTTGCCTCTGCCATTACGGCTCGCAAATCTGCCTAGCTGGCAAAGATGCTTATCATGAGTGCGCTAAAGTTCACAATTGCACACGCGACGGACTTGTGAGTCGGGCCGTTACTTAGTAAACAAAACAATCTGCCAATTTGTCTCGCGCGCTGTTTTTTTTTTACAAGCGATAATAAGTTAACTTTTTTAATTAGGTATCTTACCACTGACCTCCATATATATACACTAGTACGCTGTATAACAGAAGTCAGTACTATCTCATAGATATTTTTCAGCTTTACCAGTCAGTATTTTCTTTTCAAATTACATAATAATATATTGGTATACTTACTTTTCGGCAATTAGTATATCAATTACATATTTTTAGAAATTGTTCTGAAAATTACTTAAACATATATTTATATAAAACGGCTTTCTTATAAATCATTCAAGAAACACAAGGGCTTATTATTTACTCTATCGTTTTAAAATTTTTGATCCCATTTTTCTTTAAAAATCTTGTTTTATAAAAAAATAAGTTATTTAATTAATTATCATAATATTTATTTAAAAAATACATTTCTTGTTATTTTTTATTTCATTGCTCGTTAAAAAAATCAGATATTCTATTAAGCTCCTCCGGTATATCTCCTCATTCACTTGGCACAATATTGTTTTAGAGCGACGGGAAGATGGTGTTCGACGTGATCCAACGGATGGAGGACACGGAACCGTTCAGCGAGGAGCTGCTCGCAGCGATGAAGAGGCTGTGGGCGGACTCCGGGGTGCAAGAGTGCTTCGGCCGCTCTAACGAATACCAGCTTAATGACTCCGCGAAATAGTAAGTGATTATATTTTTATATTGTGTATGTACACTAAATTTTCGACATTTTCGAGACCTTGTTTAATTTTAATATTTTTATAGTGCAGTTAAAACATAGGTAAGCCACGTTAAAATATTTTATTTCGTGTACCTTTACAACATTACTATTACAATTGTAAAGCTAAATTCATCAATTATTATAATTTTTGTTATTTTTTTAATTTTAGAACTAAAAAGTGTTACAAATTAACTACTGCAAAAACTAAAGAAAATAAAATAATTTCAACATATTTGCTTCTTCACAAACGATCCACTGAGTCTTAGATTGTTTTGATTTGGAGTCGTTTTTTAAACCTTTTAAATGGACTAAGAATAACACGTTCACAAGTTTGAGGTAACAGCTAGAACGTCGTCTAAAAAGTTAAATCAAAGATTTTTTTAAATTTATGCAGGACCATTTAAGTATATATATTTAATAAAAGAAGAATTTAAAAATATTTTCAGCCGTTTCCGAGAAATCGGTGAACGTACTTAAAAACACGTACGAGTCGAATACAAACCATTCCGTTTTTTGTACACCGTTAATAAATAAGTAAAAATAAAATATAAGGTTAATTAATATATTATATTGTTATATGCCACTGCTGGGCACTGGTCACTCTTATTGATAATTTAGTTGAGTAATACCAAACTCAGTTAGCTTGTTTACTATGATATTTAGAGAGAGTGCTTAGTCCCTAAGCTACCACAGCCCCTCGTATACTCGAATAACTTTAATTTGAACCACCTAGTCTTTTAGATTAGATTTCTAGATTTTTGAATATATATATCATCGTTTGCATTCTAGTCATAGTATACAAGGATGGAATTTAAATTCGCTAGTTTTTCGTTTTATCGCGGGCAAGAAACTATCGTAGCCCCAGACGTTCTCAATTTTTTTAAAGGTGATTAATGAAGTAAACGTAGAAAAATATACGATACTATTAGAGAATCGCCTCTGTTTAAAGATGAAAGGGATAACCAACGATGTGGTGTGACTTCTAATAAAGCGTATTGTCAATGAGTTAGGTTGGTTATAGCGAAAGCGAAATAAGTGTTGAATCTCTTACAATTCAGCTGAATCGTTGCGCGCTAAAGTTACTAAGATAAAGAAAAAAATTTATGGATTTATAAGCACTTAATGAAAGGTCGAGGCAAAAATAATATACGATCGACTAAATATATTCAAGACTATAACTAAGAAAGTGTATTTAAGACGGGTTTAGCCTAAAGCCAAACCATTTACTACTATATTCTGAACTTGGTTTGGATGAGAATTGCCGTCACGTATTATATTCTTATTAAAATTTATAGTCATATGGAAGGCTATAAGACGCTAAATATATGATATTTGATACTGCTGTACCGTGTACCGTGTAGTGGGTATTATTACACCGCCAGTGTAAGAATACCTACTACCCCATATCGTTCCGTGGCTGTCGTAAGAGGCAACAGAGGGAAACTAAAACAGGAGATGGGCAGCAGCGTCGCCTGCGGAGCGTGGCAACTATGGCAAAATCCCCCCTATGAAGCAATCTATGGGAGTGGCCTATGTTAGCAGTGAACTCGGGCTGTAATACATAGAAACAGCTTTGAAATATTTGCATGTAATCAAATGTTGGATGTATTCGCAGTTAAACTCACTCAGGTTACTCATAATATGATAAGAAACATGACAATGTCGTTATCTGCCTTTAAGTAATTTATTACAATAGAATAAATTATCTATTTAGGTGTTTGTTTGTTGTGGTCCACTCCAGAATGTAATCAGTTGTGTAATTGTTTTTACCTATAAAATAATCTAATCTATTTTGTATAACGAACCTTTGTATGTAATAATACATTCTTAAGCTAATGCAGTCTTATTTAAAGATAGTTAAGGTTTAGAAAAATAGATAAATAATAAAGATCCTTGATGTTAAACGTTTTAAGCAAGAATTTCTTTGCGTTCATGTATTCAATTGACTTTCAAGCGATATGGTCCCTCCCTGCTGGCCGTATGAGGAAGCTCGATGTCACTCAGCTACCTACGGAGACGGCTATGCTCGGAGCTTCTCTGCGTGATTAACTTCGCAGTGAGGATATCCGTAGTGGAATATCCACGGAGTAACCGAAATAGCTCAACATATCAGTGAGCTAGGGAAGAAGGAGGCTGGCACTTCGTTTACAAAAAGTCGATGAATGCAGTTGGCTCATAACCGTACTGTGGGACATTCTTTCTAAAATAGGCCCTGTTTTTAAACACAAGTCATAAAAAGAAATTCTAGATTTTTAATCAATTAGTTATAATGGCTGCGTCCATATTGAAAAGGTAAAGTTATCCTTCGTACACGACCTAAAAACGGTAGCTTTTATTGTTTGCTATACACATTAATCTTTCAGCTTTTGTAGAATTGCAGGTAGCGTGCAGTCACATCAGCATTATAATCATCAAACTTTGTTTTTCAAATATGAAAATTACAGACGAAGGATCTGCACAGTAACTAAAGTTACATAAACATTATTTAGGTGTTAGTGTTTTTTCTGCCTCGGCTTCAGTGTAAACCGCAGGGGCTCGTTCGGTATGTATGTTGGTGTGACGCTGTACGTCAGCTCATCATAGCGCCACAGCACATCGTGTTTATGGAACGTCTGAAACAGATTTTTAATTGCATTTATTTCTTGTTGCAAAATATTTAAAAGCTTCTTGATACGTTTTACGATAGCTTTTATATTTTAGGACTTTGTCTATGAAGTGGTTTGCAGTCTAATTGTTTAATTGGTCAGTTAATTAGAAAGTTATCTATTTAGTTGAACGTCTGCATTAAATTGAAAGACTGAAAAAGCCTAGCCAAATCGTTAAACGTTTTAGAAAAGGACTGGCCAATGCTTAGCCATCCGGTTAAAGAAAATTATTACAGTTGCTCAGCTGGTGAGGAATTTGGTAGGGGTCTTAGTTTAAAATGAGTTTTGACATTGTATTGTATATGTTTCATTCGTAGGCAAATCCATGTTTTGAGTGTTAAAAATCTCACAAAGTGTCATAGGGAAAAATATGTCGGCTGTTGACGCGATCTTTTTATTGGACACGAGGCGTGCTATCTTAGTCCTGACGGGTGACGACAATGCATCTGCATTTTAATTATTAATTGAGGATAAATGTGCTCGTTTGTCACCCTTATTCTATAATAAAAAACTTGTAACATGGCAAATACGATTTGGCGTCTATTGACTCAATTTGACCAAAAGGGCTAACTATCTATCGATCCGCCGAAACGTTCAACTAAAAGGCTAAGCAATTTAGTTTAATGTTGCCGATTAAAAACGGCCTGACCGTCCAATTAACCTGCTGATTTACGCCCATACTCATGATTTAATTTATTTCGTACAGGAGTTTCGTAAGAGAAACAGAAACCTTTATTCAATATAAATTGTGATAAATAATACATATTGAAAGTCACTGTTTTGTTTAATTTTCCACTAGTTCAGAAAAAAACTTCCGTCCTGGGAAGAACCAGCAGAAACCCAGAGGGAATTTTTAATTGAAACAAAAGAGCAGTTTACAATCGTATTATGTTACCCAATTAACAACACAAAACAAATTAGAAATAGCTTGGTAGCGATCACCTAATTTTCAGGGGTTATGATAATAACCCATATCACAAGATGAATCCATATACACAATACATATTTTGATTAATAAATATTTTAAACTTGGTGGAAGATTTGTAATAAAAGTATACATATAGAGTAGCAGCTTGACATTGAACTAATTAAATATTTCTTCGTAATATACTTATAACTATATCTAGATATATCTAGACAAACTTTTGGTTATAACAAAAGTTTGTCTAGATTTGCATGATTTTAAGTGGCAAAATAGGTTTAACTTCTGTGAACTATCTTTCTTTCAATACTCCTATTACAAGTACATCGTAATCACAACTTTTTCCGGAAAGAAATAAGTTTCATTCTTATACACCTATAACACAGGGCTTAAATATTTGATAGATGTGTATTGGGTTTTTACCAATAGCTTTCGAACATTACCTTAGCCAGCAGTAGTTGTAGTTCGGCTTCAGCAAATCTTTTTCCAATACACATACGACGGCCAAAGCCGAAGGGGAGCGACGCGAAGGGGTGGATACCTAGTTCCTTTTGTTTACGCCATATTGACATTGCTCTTGCGTGCTGGCATTCTATTGACGCCTGCTTTATTTCCTCTAAGTCTTCTGATGATATCATTCCCTTTGTTTTACAATAATCGATCTCTTTTTCGTTATTCTGCTTGCTTGTTCGACTTTTTTCAACTAAATCTTCTCTCAGCCATCTTTCGGGGACGTATTCTTGTGGCGATGGAAAATACCGTTCGTCATTTGATAGTATATAATGCGGGAATACAACGTGGCACTGGAATTAGATTATTTTTAAATGTATTTACAGCTAAGCTTACAATCTGTATAAAAGTGTCATATCCTATACCTTTAAACGAGCAATTCTTGTGTGTGTATATATATATATATATAATCGGAATCTCGGAAACGGCTCCAACGATTTTCATAAAATTTTGTGTGCAGATAGTTTCGGGGGCAATAAATCGATCTAGCTGGGATTTATTTTTAGAAAATGTCTTTTTGTCCGTGTTTTTAGGCAATGAAAAACTGCTACAATATCGTTAGAATAAGAAGGTAAATTTTGACAGTTTATTAACGATTACAAATAGCTTAATTGGTATATTGGGCGGTCACAAAATCGTAGTACCATGGTTCGAGCCCAGACCGACCGACTTTTTTTAATTTTCTTTTCAAGTTCCTTTCTTTTTTGAGAAAATCTATTTTTTCCAGCCCTTTTTTTAGTATTTTTTAAAAACACGAAAATTTAAATTAAACTAATTGCACTCATGATTTTTTATTCAAATAACCAGTTCAGTTTTTTCTATTATGTCGCTACGATCAAAAAATATAATTCGTATTTCATCAGTATATAATATTATAATATAT